AAAAACTCCACTGAAAGTCTACACAGCAGAATGAGCCAATGTGAGGACAGAATTTCAGATATTGAAGATAAGATTGCAATTAATGACCAGGAAAAGAAAAATTGCTTCAAAATTATAAGGGAACAGGAGAAATCAATCCAGTAGATGCTAGATGATGCAAAGAAGAATAACAGACTGATTGGGCTCAATGTAGTACTTTTTAAAGGTAGTCCTGGAAAACAAATATAACACCTTTCCAGAACTATACATTTTCATCTTTATATGTAGGATTGTCTTTGTGACTACCAATATTTTGTCTTAAATGTTTTTACACGAATTTATAGGATGCACTGCTATCCCTCATTAGACATGATGGCTCTATTATATGTTCAACAAGGACATCATTGTTAACAGGAAGTCTGAAGAAGCCTAATTATACCTTGTTAGGGCCACAGATTAGAAAAACCAAACAGAAGGTACAACATATATTTCTATCAATCATTCATTGATTATTTGTATGGTGGAGGATATCTGGGTACTTTGTGAGTAAATAAAAATGTGATCCTTGGGCTGGGGATGTAGCTCAGTGGTACCGCCACCTGCCTTGCAAGCACAAGGTCCTGAGTTCAATCCTGGTACAAGTAAATAAGTAAGTAAATAAATAACATTTGATAGCCAAAAAGTGATTATATCGTTTGATGAAGGAAGCCACCATGTAGAGAAGCTCTGCCCCATAGTATATCCAGTATTAGTTTTTATTGCTGTGTAACGAATTACTATACATTTGGTGGATTAAAACTACATATATTTATTATTTCATAGTTTTCACGGGTCAGGAAGTCTGCGCACTGCTCAAGTGGGTCTTCAGCTCAGAATCACACAAGGTTGCAATCAAGTTGTCAAAGCCAGGAATATGGTCTTATTTGAGGATCGTGTTTCTGTTCTAGGCTCACTGGTTGCTGGTAGAAATCACTTCCTCAAAGTTGCCAGACTGAGGCCCTCAGATCCTAGAGGCTGTCCTACCACTTCATGGTACATGGCACTATCCACAAATATGACAGTCACCTTCTTCCAGGCCAACAGGAGGGCATTTCTGCTGCTTTGAATTGTTCGGACCTCTTTTATATTGGCTCTCCTTAAACATCTTTGAAGGGTCTCACCTGATTGGGTCAGAGCCTTCTAGGGTTTGCTCCTCTTTAAAGTTTAACTTAAACTGACTAGGAAATTAAACTACATCTGGAAAATCTCCCACCTTTTCCATATAATGTAACCAAATCAAGGGAATAACATCCCATCGTATTCACTGGTCCCACACATACTCAGAGAGAAGAGATTATTCAGGGCATGTGGCATCAACAGTGGGAACCTGGAGGCCATCTTAGAGCTCTGCCTAATACAAATGGCATGTTTTAGTACCATCTACAAGCTTTACTTCCACTCGGCTCCTATAGTTTACATTTTGGCAAAGTATTTTTACAACATTCTACTAGTACTATAGTTGCCATAGTGTAATACCAAAAGTTATAAAATTGCCTTTGCTTTTAATAAAATTAGAATTCTACTAAATGTAATATTCACACAGAAAACTATTTTGTAAGATTTCAAAATCACATTTACTCTGGACTAACATTACAACCCTTGTGCATGAAATACAAAGATGGAATTTTGTTTTCTTTGTTTAAATGGGACAATGGTCACTGCAATTGAAGAATAAAATGTTTTATTAACAAGCCAGAATGAGGAAATGAAGGTGGAGTGCTCCATTAAACAAGCAACAGCTGTGAGCAAGGAAAGTAATGTTTCTACCATAGCAAAGTAAATTTAACAGCTTTATCCTTCCTATTGCTTGCAGTAGTGCCCCGTGTGATTCAAGCAAACTTGGTTACCATTGTTAATGTTAGAAATAGTTGAAATGAGCAAGCCTGGCTATGTTCGGGTCTCTCATGGTGGCAATATGTGGCAGGGTCAACAATATCAATCACACCACATAATCTGTAATGTTTTTGGGCCTAGTCACTTCTTTAAACAAAAGAGTGGAAAGCACTTTCAACACTCAGTTTCTCCACAGATATACTAGTTATACAGTTGCATCTGCATTCTTTTTTATGCAGAAGAAAGGCATTTTGTGCCCTTTGACATTTTAAAATTAATTTTTGCCCCCATTTGATCAATGAATAATTTCAAGTATTTCCAAATTTTATTCATAGTCATTCATTTTAACAGCAGAACCAACCAGATGTGGTTTATTACAATTTTGGCTCAGTCATAAAAATTGAAAATACATTAAAAATTATATCAGTGTCAAGAGATTTCAAACATTGTCTTATAAGTAAACTTGCTTAGCAAAACTATGAAATATCTTATTTCAATTTTCACATATAAAAATATATTGTTTTGTTTTATGCAACACTGAACAGTTAAGACCACAACACTTCAAGGAGAGCTTGAGATACACGTATTTGAAAACTACTTGTTAAAAATATTAGCATAAATAAATATCAAAACTGGTCATACTGTTCAAACCAAAATATTAACTTATATCTTTAAAAGTCTGTTATCAGAAGTATTTCTTCAGAAGTCATAACATTTTTCAAGTGTAAGTTACGAATGTGCTCATTAAGTCATGAAAACATGCATTTATAGTATTGTACAGGATTTTGACTTTCCCTCCATATTGGGTGGTGAAGAATCATGAAAGTTTTGCCCCGAGTGATTAGGGATGGCATCTTTCTTATTGCTTTGTAAAGCTACTTGATCTCCTATTGGTTTTATCTCTGAAAGTGGCTCCATACTATTCTGTGTAATTTTCTGACCTGTCAGTGACATCCATTTCAAGAGGAAATTCTAGAAAAAACAAATGTCAGCAGAGATTTCAGTAAGTGAAATATTCACTTAGTATTTAGTGGTATCATTTTTAATAAGTATAAACATAATTTCATTACATCTTTATGGGACACCACAACTACAATAACACATTCTTAGCATCCATCAGTCTTTTTCCTTTTACCAAAACAGTCATGATTCCTCCCCAAAGAAAGACCTTTTCAGGATCTAACTTTCAACATCATCAACATCTTGGTAATATATTATCATTTTCCTTCAAAGGCCAAATTTAGTATTCTACTTTGTTCCGTTGTAAGAGGAAAAAAGATAAAAACTAAGATATTACTTATGATAGCATTTAAATATAACCAAGATGGTTCATTTTGGGGCATGTCTGCCATTCCAGTGTATCTCAGCCATACAGACTTTCTATTATAATATTCTGGAGAAGGAGGGCATACCTCCCAATTCCTGTAGATCAGAATTTCTGGCAAAATGTTAGTGTTTCCAAATGATGGCTGTGTGGGCCATCAGAGTAGGCAGTGAGATACATGCAGCTGTTGCTCAGGGGAGGCCAGGGCTGCAGATTTGAAGAATACAAATAAGAGCTGAAGAAATGAAAGTAACTCAAGGATTCCTGGCAGGCAGAAAAGAGAATATAAAGAAAAGAGACTGAGGAATGGCAAAGTGTAAGAAGCAAGCCGATGGAGGATAACCAGCATTGAGGATAGAGGTCTGCAGAAGCAAAATAGGGAAAATGAGGCAGCTCAGAAGTCAGGTGAAGAAAATATAGCAAGCTTACCTTTAGCCTTAAAAATGGAGGAACTAGAGGGAAAAGTTGTAACCCCAAAAGTCAAGTGTCTAGAAAAAGGGTTTATGGATTAACATGGAGGCATTCCTGTGCCTGCTATGTTGGAGGAATACACATCTTGAAAACATTCTGCCACTACAAAATACCAAGAAATGCTCAATAAGTATACGAATAGAATTTTATAATGTAAAAATAATCTCATTAAAAAAAAAACTAAGAGAAATCCTGGTAGGCCAAAAAATGTGGAAGGAGCAACAATCTTCAGAGGTGAGTATTGAAATAGCATTTGTTGGCCTCCTAACTTAGACTCTTGGGTTTTAACAAATTCAATCTCACAAAATGTGGGAAACTGGGATGGAAGCCCCTCCATAACGTGGGGCTTCTCTATGAATTATGTCCTTAATGTAAGTGCACAAGCGAATGTTGGGAGATAACAAAATACATGCCTCTCTTGTTTGGCATTTGAGAGAAGAAGAAAAATGTTTTGCTGAGGTTAGGATGAAGTTCATATTGCCAATGTGGACAGACAACCCTTAAGGGGGATATTAAATTGAAGTGGTTCATTAGCCATTTCAGAGCTAACAGAGAGGCCAATAAACATTCTCTATGGATGAACTCACTCTAACCCTAGGCCTTATAGGATTTCCATAAAAAGGTCCTGGTTGAACATAATCCAAATTTCAAAACACATATGGAAACAAATCACCATCAGCAAGTCAGCCAGAGCAACATACAGCTTCCAACTCCTAAGGATGGGTGACATTGGAATTAAGAAATACTGAGTAGAAAATAAACACACTTAAATTATTTAAAGCACAAAACAAGAGGCTAACTTTGCAAAAGACCAGACTGATTTTAAAAAGAACCAAAATAGAACTTCACTTAAAAGTTTAAAAATATAATCAATAGAACTCAAAAGGTAGGTTAAATTAAAATCTCAGCAAAAGAGAAACTAATAAAATCAATAAAGCCCCTGACATGACCCAGAGCATTACTTAGTATAAAACTATGAAGTTGATGCTAAAAGATGTGGTCAACAAAATGAAAAGTTTGTATCAGAGTTCAAAAGGAAAGAAAGGCAATCTTATAATATATAATGGATACTATTTTTAAAAACTATGAGTGATAAGCATTCTCAGATTCATAATCAGAGTCATAATCAGTTTCTAGGAAGTTATAATAAAACAATTCATATCTAGGCATCTCATAGTCAAATGGAACATATCAAAGTCAAGCAATCTAAAAAGATAGCCAAAGAGGAATGACAGGTCATACACAAACTTATTAGCAATTTTAATAAAGCAGTATTAACAGTAATCATGGGAGCAGATGCTAAGAAACCAACTGGCAAGTAGTCATGTTATCAAGCGAAGAGAAACTCAAAGTGTGAACTACTAACAGACATTACAAGAACTTTCAAAGGATTTCTTTAGGAAGAATAAAGATCTCAGAAAGATGTCTGAGACATAAAAAGGAATGATGATTAAAGCAAATGGTATAAAAAACAAATAACATGATTTGTGAAGTTAAAAATATTAAAACACTAGGTACAATAACTTGTAAAATGAGAAGGAAGGGACATTAGGAGAGAAAACTAAGATGCTGGTATTAACTGGGAAAAAAGAACATTAGTTAGTTTTAAATTTAAGGTATGCATGTGAAAATTTCAAAGACAATGTTCAGCTATATAGGCCATTTCCAAGGGACACATCTACAATACAAGTTAAAGGAAAAAGAAAAAAAAAAGATCTATCAGGCAAATACTAACCAAAGGGAAGCTGGTTTATTAGAAATGTGGAACATCAACCTAAAATCATTTACATTAGTTTTGGACCATGAAAACACATACTAAGGGAGTCAAATTATGTGGATCACCATATGAAAAGGAGAAGGAGCAATTTAATATTTTGATTTTAACACTCAAACGCAAAGTTTATTTCACTTACTTTTTGGAGTATTTTTATGTCTTTACTTGGTACTGATTCATTAACTCCTAGAGCCTCTGAAGAACTGTTCTTTTCATAGTTATACATGTTTCCTACAATTGAATATATTCAAAAATACTGTTGTAATTAATGAGAAAAAGAAAAGACCTGATGCTTTCAGTGAAACTCTTATCAACTCTGAGTTGTGGGGTAATACAAAAAAGCTCACTACTGGAGTAGCAGACAATGTCTACACTGTATACTTCCCGAAAAGTTGAGTTATAGTAAACGTTCAAAAAGATCTGACCAATAGTAAAATGTTTAGATGGCCTGTATCAAAATATAGCTGCAAAGGAAACAGGAAATATTAGAGAAGACTTCCGTAAAAATATGAATTATATTTTAAATTAACCTAGTTACAGCTCAATTCTTTGCACTCAAATGGACATGTTATTTTTTGTATTTCTAATTAAACCACGGTATATAGTTGAGTAATCTTTAAAATATATTTATGAAGCATGCAGTTTTAAAATTTCATATAATTAACTACTTAAAGTTTGTATTTAATTTCTTTTTGACACTATAGGCTATACACTAAGAATAGAGGTGATACTTTAACATTTAGCTTAAAATATTCTAAAGCTTACTACTTTCTGCAGAAGCTAGAACAAAATGATTAAGGAAATTATTCCTCCTCTGCTTAAGTTTAGATCAATTAGCCAGTATTATGGAGAGTTGTTTTATGTATGTATGTATGTATGTATGTATGTATGCATGCATGCATGCAGTGCTGAGTATGGTCTTAAGCATGCTAGGTCCTGTTAGACAGTTACTTTTAATTAGAACAGAGTAAAAAGCATATGATGCTGTGAAAACATAATACAGGAGTCAAACAGCAAATGTAGATGATTTGGGTCTAGAAAATGTAGGTCTTCAGGGCCATCGCAATCTTCTCTCAGTTTCCTCTATTCTGTGGCACCTGTTCCCTGACACTAACAGCTTGGGTTAGGGAAAGACTTCTCTTCAATGTCCATGGTAAGGTAAGAGAGTCAGCTCTAGGCCTTGGGACAGATAAATGGATGGTAACTGGGGCTCTAGGCCAGGTCAGGCATCCTAACTTGACTAAAGAGGTCTACACTGTTCACTAGAGACATAAATTAGAATTTGGGGTAAACTGCTGACTTAATACTGATTGAGCAGAGGAAAAAGTAGTAAAAAACATGAGCACCCATGAATAGTGTGAATAATTTGTATGCAAAAAGGCTGTGGTGGTTAAAAAGAAAAGCGATAAGTCCGTGTCATGTTATTTCATACCTTACTATGAGTTTCATGTGACAGTAAAATGTATAAAAAAGAATACGTGTATGAGCTTGTAATTATCTATTACAGAATATATATGCATACATATTTTATAAAAGTATCCTTTTATGGTTTCTCTTATATGAGAAACTTGTAAATAAAAAGTAAAACAATGGAGAGATGGTAGAAACCAAAAAGGCTGAATTGTTAGAAATGGGGAAGAGAATGCAGGGATATGACGGAGGGGTAAAGGGATAGAAATGATCAAGATATGCTATATACATGTACTAGTTCCCCAAAATGAATGTAATTATAATATTTTGTAAACATATACTCATAAAACATTCAATATCTTTAAAAATTTGATTAAATAAATTTAAAAAGAAAAATATGCTTTCAAAGTCAAATGTGCTCATACCTTTTGGATTTTCATTGTATTCATAAATAGCCCATTCTTCTGGTTTGGCTTTTTCTTCCTATAAACAATAAAGAAACAATGTGATAAAAATATATTTGTTCTGTGCTAGAAAACATTCTTGGTTTTTAAGCAGGGTTCAGAAGCCTGCTTCTAACTAATGACATAAATGTGTAATGATTACACACTTTGTTGGGCTAAAATAAGGGCCTTTAGATGCTGACTGACCGGTAATGTTCTTTTAGCTTACAATTCTATGATTAAAAAAAAAATCATATGATCCAAGAATTCCCCTCAAAGAAGATTTAGGAATACTCACTGGCATATGGCTTGTCTCAACATTTTACAATGTTAAATTGGTACTAAATGATTACTATGTTAAAAACTTTTAGGGACCACTGTAAAATGAATTTATAAATTCTCTAAACAGAATCATTTTGCCCTCCTGAAAGAAAAAAGTAACTGCTAGAACATTTATTACTAGGTGAGAAGGAGCCTTAGAAACAAAAGGGACCAAAGAAGAGAATGACTTTTACAGAAGAGTAACATTTTGTAAGTTAAAAAGACATGGACACAAAATAATACATGTCTCACAAGTGCACATTCAAAAGAAAAGACAAGTATGTTTCAACACCTGTATTTACTAGTGAAAAGAAGGATAGGAACAGGACTAAAATGGAATGAATTTAAATAAGAAGAGCTTTGCAGAGAGCAAGGATAAGAGTGTTTTGTCAACTAAAAGGCATGACAGTCTGTGTTCTGCATGAGAGGTCCTAAAAGTGAGAATGAATTAATACAATGTCATTCAGTCTTGGACTTCACAATTCTGCATCTCTGAAATTGATCCACACTGCTATCACTAAAGCTATTTCAAACTTACCACCTAGCAGGCAAAATTGCCAAATGGAGGAGACATATTTGGGCATTTCTAACCCCACTTTCAAGTTGATCTTTGCTTCCTCAGTGATACTGCCTCTGTTCCACCTATACATACTTTCATCTACACTGTACCTATGAAAAACTGATCACAACCTCAAATACTGTTGTAACCAACTTTGTCAGTATACATAATGTATTCCATTTCTGCCACCAGCACCTGGACTCTAATTTTGTACGTTCAGCATTTCAAACACCAGATGTCCAACTCTGTTTTACGCATTTCCCAATAACATACTGTCCTGGACCATACCATTCAACTCCCATTTATGCAGGAAACAGAATGCTATCAAGCAGTGAGGAAAGTTTGCTAGACACATTAGCTTGATTCATAAAAGCCAAAGCCACACAAAGTTATTCACAGAGGTATTTTTGCTCCCAAAAGAAAGGGCAATCTGCCTTCTGCAGGGACCAGGGACCTAATATGCTTTTCTTAGGTAAGATCTCAGGACTAAAGCGCCTATCATTATACCTTTTCGTCAACTATAGCTAAGTCATCATTGATACTTTCTGACCCTTCTTTTTCATCATCAGTCACAGTTTTCATCTCATCTTCCTGATTTTTGGCATCAATTTCCTTATCCATGTCTTCTGGTTCTGCGTCTTTAGTTTCTGAAAATTTTTGATCCTGTGACAAAATTGATCATCAAAGAAGAGTTAAGATTTTCTTTTGTGAAACCATCAACAGAGTGAAGAGACAACCTACAATGTGGGAAAAAATTTTTAGCAGCTGTACCTCAGACAAA